GAGAGAATGAAGTCGTTCAAGATCACCTGGGACAAGTCTCGACCAGACAGCCTCGACGTCACGTCGAGATGGACGCCAAGAAGCAGCCTGGGAGCAGTCTCGACCAGACAGGCTCGACGTCACGTCGAGATGGACGCCAAGAAGCAGCCTGGGAGCAGACTCGACCAGACAGGCTCGACGTCACGTCGAGATGGACATCAAGGCGCCACCTTTGAGAATCACATGGTCTCGACGTGGTAGGCTCGACGACACGTCGAGTTGGCCTCCACCGACTCTCTATTTTGTCCTGTAGCCAATTAGGGTAACCTAGTATTTCCTATAAATAGGGGTACATGCTATTGTCCAGGGGATATTCCTTTTACCCAGCAGATATTCCTTTGTTCTCTCATAAACCCTAGTTTTTGTAATCGTTTTTCCTGTTGATCCTTTGAGTTTTTGCATTTCTTTTCTTCATCAAAGTTGTAGATCTGTCTTTTATCTATAACATACTTTCTTTTCAATGATTTCTGGGTTTGAAACGTTTTCTGGGTTTTTATGCATGATGTTCTTCAGTGTTCTTGAGTAGTGGATTAGGGTTCTTGAGGATGGGTTAGATTAGGTGTGGAATCCTTAGTATATTTAGGTGGTTAAGTGTTGAATTGCTTGATTTCCCTTCTGGTTTAGTAGATCTTAATGTTATTTCTTCTCTGATCAATTGGAAATTGATCTCAGACATTTCCACACCCAAAAGGTGTTTGATGAAATGTCTGAACAAACTTTTCCAGAGATTTGCATACTCTAGCCCAAGAGATTGGATGTTTAGAATGCTTATTGACTTTATTAGATTGAATCATAATGCCTGCTAGGTTATATTTCTTCAATGAGAATTGAGTATGAAAGTGATTTAGCTTGAGAATCTCTGTCACGAGAGTGGATTGATTTGTATTCGAATCTATTGTCTAGGGATAGCTTGATTGAGTTTGTTAACCACCTAGGTAGACTAAGGAGACTGCCATAATCGATTACCCCATTCCTCAGGACCCTTTATCTCTATTGATTGCTTGATTATCGTTTCTGTTAGATTTTGTGTTCTACTCGACCTGCTTGCTTATTACTGCTTAGTTTTGATAATCATTTCTCTTTATGCATGTTCATTCATGTTCTGTAGCTTTATCGTTTTTATGCATGTTCGCTTAGGATTGTTAGATAAACAACCCTCTATTCTGCTTGGCTTGACTTAGTTATCTCTGAGCATATCTTGATTGATAGTGAGAGCACCTGATTGGATTGATAACCTCTTATACTGCAATGACATGAAAGTATATTAGGGTAATTGATAGCAAAATCTTAGTATCAATTTGGCGCCGTTGCCAGTCTTGTGTTGCATTGTTCCATTTAGGATTTCAGAAACGTTTAAGATCAAGTTCTTTCTTTACGTTGGTTACTAACTCTTCATTTCATCTGCTTGTTTTTGTGATCCAGGTACCATCTCGACGACACGTCGAGACTGCCACATCGAGTCTGCCACTCTGCATTGTTAGGGACCATCTCGACCTCACGTCGAGACTGCCACATCGAGTCTGATCACTCTGCAACCCTGCTGTATGCAAACTCGATCAAAAGGCAACCAGAACCTCCTTTTCAACGATAACATTGACCGTATTGACAGAGAACTAAGGGAAAGGAGAGACACTACAGACCTTGAACACAACCATCCTTTCAGAATGGCTGATGAACAAGATGTCAACAATCTGCCAGCAAACATTGGTGCTGGAGATGCACCAAGAAACCACCATCAGAGGCAAGGAATTGTGCCTCCTGCTGTCCAAAACAACAACTTCGAGATTAAAAGTGGTCTCATCTCGATGATTCAAGGAAACAAGTTCCATGGTCTGCCTCTGGAAGATCCCTTAGACCACTTGGATAACTTCGACAGGCTCTGCAGCCTAACCAAGATAAACGGTGTTAGTGAGGACAGTTTCAAGCTGCGCCTGTTTCCCTTCTCACTGGGAGACAAAGCACACCAATGGGAAAAGACGTTACCTGCTGGCTCCATCACATCTTGGGACGATTGCAAGAAGGCCTTCTTAACAAAGTTCTTCTCAAATTCAAGAACTGCAAGGCTTAGGAATGAAATCTCCAGTTTTACCCAAAAGCAGTCTGAATCCATTTGTGAAGCCTGGGAGAGATTCAAAGGCTACACTATACAGTGTCCACACCATGGTTTCAAGAAGGCTTCTCTACTAAGCACACTCTACAGGGGAGTTTTGCCCAAAATCAGAATGTTGCTGGACACTGCTTCTAATGGGAATTTCTTGAATAAGGATGTTGAAG